AGGAGGAGGACGAGGAGGAGGTAAGAGGAGGAGGAGGAGGAGGAAGAGGAGGAGGAGGAGGAGGAGGAGGAGGAGGAGGAGGAGGAGAAAGGAGGAGGAGGAGGAGGAGGAGGAGGAGGAGGAGGAGGAGGAGGAGAAGCGAGGAGGAGGAGGAGGAGGAGGAGAGAGGAGGAGACTGGAGAAGACGATCCAAGCGCCGTCGCGGCGATCCGAGTGCCGTCGAAACCGTTTTTTTCTGCGTCGCGCACCTGGCCGCCCCCGCCGTCGCCGAGGGCCAGGTCCCGCCTCGCCTCGGGGAAGACGGCGCCGTCCTCGCCCAGCGCCAGGCGCTCGTGCGCGGCGGCGTGCGGGGCGCAGGCGAAGACGGGGCTGCCCTCCCGCAGGTGCCACTCGAGCTCGGCGACGTACTGCTCGATGCCCACCTGCTGAAAGGGCCCAGGGACACACAAAGAAATAGTCACAGATCCCAGGATTCCCAATATCTTTAAATACTCGTTCGATTTTCGATTTCCCCACCCCTTCCCGTATTTTCCCATATTTTCTGGCTTTAGAAACCTCCCATAGATGGGTCCGAGTAGATGGGGTCGGATAATCTCGCCGCTTTGCCGACACATTGGCGATGCATCGCCGATACATCGGCGATGCAACGGCCATGCACTGGCGACGTCTGCGATACATCCGCGACGTCGGCGTGGAGACAGATGGGCCCCATATCGAGCCGCATCGCCGATGCATCGGCGACGTGGCGCGATCCTCCGACCCCATCTACTCCTACCCCATCTAGGAGGCCTAGAACCTTTGGCGGCGCGCAGAGGGGGGTAGGGGGAGGGGGAGGGCTTCTTAGAAGGAGGCTGCTTCTTGGAAGGCGCCGGCCCTCACATCTCTAGACAGGGCCCGCGCCTTCTAAGAAGTAGGGTGCTTCCAAGAAGCCCTCCCTTCGCCCCCCGCCCCCCTCTCCGCGTGGCTGACACCTCGAGGACCCTCGACCGCAGGGCGGGGGACTCCCGCGCGGAGAGCACAAAGGCCTCGAACTTGCGGAAGGCGGCGAGCCACTTCTCTGGGTCGTCGTGTGCCTCCCAGAGCTCCAGCGGGCCGCCGCAGTGGGTGCTCAATGAGAACACCTCGCAGTCGAAGAGCGCGTCGTCCACCTCCTGCTCGCTGAGCGAGGCGCCGCAAGCGCGCGAGTAGGCGCGAACGAAGGCCCGCTTCTTCGGGAGGTTGTTATCGCAACAAGTCCTGACAACGAAAGCCAAATCCTGCGCCGCACACATCACGCACGACCACTCGAAGTCGATGAGCAAGATGCCAGAGCTAGTCTCCAGCATGTTCCCCCGATGGCAATCCCCGTGAGCAGTCACGATCCGCGCGGCCAAAGCCGACCGTGGGGCAAAGCACTCCGCGCCCAGCCAAGCGCTGCGACACGTCGGCGTGAGATCTGCGAGCAAGTACTCCCGCGCGCTCCACGACCACCCGTGCGAGCCGAGGGGCAGGGATCCAAGCGCTGGCATCCTGGCGCAGAGCGGCGCCCGGAACGGCTCGTACCAGTCGGTCGGGATGCTGTGCACCCTGGCCACCAGCGCCCCCAGAGTGGCCATCAGCCCCTCCGTGAGCGCCGGCTCGCCCAGGCCCACCCAGGGCTCGAGGAACCAGTCCCCGCCGTGCGCCAGCCGCGGCGGCGCCAGGCCAGCGGCCGCCATCAGCTCTGCGGCCACCGCGGTGCGCTTCTGGAGCAGTTCGTCCGAGTCCTCCCCCCAGACGTGCAGGGCAACCTGAGCGGCGGCTCACCGATGGGGCCCATGAGGCATGGGGCTCCGAGGCATCAGAAGTCAAGGTTCAGCTTGGGAACCCTTTCCTAGCCTCAGGGCCCCATCGCCATATCTTTGAGCCGCCGAGCCTGGGCCGGCTCGACGCCCTCCGCCGAGAGTCTGTACACGGAGGCGACGCCCTCGCCGCTCCTAACCTCCACGCGCACGCTTGCGGGCGCCACGCCCGCCCAGCCAGGCACCGCGCTGGCCGCCAGCGCGGCCAGCCGCTCGCTCTCCTGGCCGCAGCCGCTGAAACCCCGCACCAGCCGCGGCGCCGGCGGCGCCGGCGGCGCCAGCGGCGCTGGGCTGGCGCCGCGCGCCCCGTCGGGCCCCGCGCGCGCGCCGCCGGTCGGGCCGCAGGCCGCAGCCGCCGCCGCGTCGGGCGGCGCCTCCGGCGGCGCCCCTGGCGACGCGCGGGGCGGCGGGGCCTCAATGTCCCCGCTGCGCGCCTCTGGCTCCGCCGGCGCAGGCCCCTCCCCCGCGCCCCACGCCGGGCCGCCGGCCGGGCCGCCCGCCGCAGCCGCCGCGGCGTCGGGCGGCACCTCCGCCGCCGCCGCCGCCGGTGCCTCAGGGCCCTCGGCGCGCGGCTGGCGCGCCCGGGAGCAACAGCCGCCCATTGTCGGCGGCGGGCGCCCGAGCTGCGGGGCGGCCCGCTGCGCGGTGGCCGGCCCGCGGTGGCCGGCCGGGAGGCCCTCGGCCCGCGGGTCCTGGATCTGAAACTGCAGCGTCGTGAACGAATCGCGACGGGCAGTTGTTCGTCATTCTCTGCCTCTGCTTGAATCGCCGCAGTGGTTGCTGAGGGGATGGGGGGTTAGAAGTGGATGCTCAGGTGGGTTCTATCCAGCCTAACCCAGCTTAGAAGTTGGTTGCACCTGCCCGTGGCTTAACGGCGTACAGATCTGGGCTAAGTGGGCGGAGCCCACTTAGCGGAATTACCTTCGCATCCTAGGATGAGGCCAGATACAACCACTTTAGCATCCGCTTCTAACCCCCCATCCCCTTAGCAACCACCGCAACGATCCAAATGGGGGCCCTCACACGCGGCACCGGGACCGTCATGAATCGACTCAGGATGCAGAGTCGGTCCCGTGGCAGGGGTCCCAAACTCTGCGGAGCCAAGCAGTAACAAAAACACGGCGGACGAGAGGAGCCCTTCTTTCCTGCCTTGCTTCCTTGCGGCGCCGCTGTGGAACGCTTCCACGGGCGAGCAAGTGGCACAGAGGCCGCATCAGGAGGGGCGTCCGCTCCGTGACCCTCTTCGGGAGCGGCAAAGAGGGGGGTGTCCAAGAGGGGGGGGTGCAAATCATGACCGGCGGCATGTGCGCGGCCCAGCGGGGAGGGCAGGGACGTAATGAAATAAGAAGAGGCGCCATGAAATCTGAGGAAAAATCATGGCCCGCGCCATGAAATCCACCCCCCCCCCTAGTCATCACCCCCCTCTTTTCCGCTCCGTGACCCTCTTGCACGCGAAGGTGCAAGGAGGCGACCGCACGGGACCCCGACACTCCTGCGCACAGGCGCACGATGGTCCGGGGCCTCGCGGCTGGTAAACAGCGCGGGATGTCCGAGCTACTCTGAAGGGGCCCCAGGACACACACAAATAAATACACACAAATAAAAATATGCCCCATATTTTCGCATATTTTCTGGGTTTTTGTCTTCCCCCCCACTTCCCATATTTTCCCATATTTTCCTGGGAATCGACGATTAATTGTGTCTGTGTGTGTTTTCCCCTCCTGATACTCCGCGAAACAGGTACAGTGGAGGCTGGCCCACAAGAAACCTTCCACAACAACCCAACCTTGAGACCCCAGTGCGTCCATGGATTTTCGGTATGGGAAAACCCCGCTTTCCATGGCAAAATCATGGAACCCAAGAAACCGAGGGCACCCTGGAGGCAAGCAAGGTGATTCTCGGCATGGGTCTCCACTGTAGGACACCTGCGCACAGACGCACGATGGGCCAAGGTCTCGTGGCTGTTAAACAGCGCGGGGTGTCCGAGATACTCCGCGAAACATGCATGTGCTGGGCTCGGAAGGAGACGCTGTTTCGGGGGATCCTGCGCCACCGACGGCACTCAAGTTTTCGCCTACGCTGCCTTCTGCGGGCTCCCGCCCACCACCTCTGGCCTCCCCCGCCACCTCCATCTCTGCTTCCGCATGCTCCTCTTGTTCCTCCTCCTCCTCCGGCGACGCAACGCACTGGCGACTATGTAGCCGAACAACCGACCACATACGAAAGGGGTGTCACAATAAGACTACCCATGCACATGTCCAGCATGTCAGGGTCAACGTGATTGGACTATGGTCGTAAATCATGTGCGGGACTCTTCGTTTGAACTCCAGTCATAGCCCAAGCAGCTGTCATCACGCTCAACTTGTATGGTGCGTGTGGCTTCACTCCTGAGGGAAATATTCGGGGGAGAACAAAGGAAGCACTGATACGAGGAAGAGCTGGGTGCCTGCAAGAGTCAGAGCCACAGGGACGAGCCAAAGATCTAAGCACACCCCGCTCAAACAACGATGCACACATATAGCAAGCCTGCGCACCAAGAATGAAATGCATCCAGTGCGTGAGGTTCTGCGCATACTTGGTAGGAGCCCCGACCTATCAGGGCATGCCGAACCAATGAAAGCATGTCCGTATCCGCCACCGTGCTGAGAGATAGATGTTGGAAGCAAGGGACATACGAATGTCGTTGGGAAAGGGGTGTACCTGTGTACCTACATGTACAGATAGGGAAACACATCGCGAGAAAGAGAGGGAGAGAGAGGGAGAGAGAGAGAGAGAGAGACAAAGAGAGAGAGAGAGAGAGAGAAAGAGAGAGAGAGAGGGATATATATAGAGAGAGAGAGATAGAGAGAGACAGAGGCAATGACATATTGAGATTGTTAGAATTTGTTATGTGTGTATATATATATGAACATCGGGAGAAAGAGAGAGCGACATAGAGAGAGAGAGAGAGAGAGCGAGAGAGAGAGGGGGGAATATCCAACTATATAAAAATTGCGAGGAAAGAGAGGGATATGTGTATACATACATACGTATATATACACTCATAGATGTAGGGAGGGAGAGAGGGAGAGAGAGAGAGAGAGAACAAACCCAGAAGAGAAAGATGGAGGGACACCGAGCGACAAAAGAGAGATATATATATATATGTATAGAGAGAGAGAAATGAAGATAGAGAGGGACATATGAGCATCTAGATGTATGTGTGTAACCTGATGTGTCTAAAGAGTGAGGGGGGAGGAGAGAGAGAAACAGAGAGATACACATATACATAGAGGGACAGAGAAATAATAACCACATAACCAACGTGATAGTGATACATGGCACAAGCAAGAAACATGCAAACTCGTGACGCGACATTGTAAACCAAACAAGGCGATCAGACAAAACTGCAAAGGTATAACAAATATGATACACGCGTACACCTAGAGAGAGAAGGCTAATAATTAAATGATAGAGGAGGCACGTGCGTACACACATCTGGATACGCCAGCCTTTCCAAATACTGTTATGTGCATGCGCAAAGAATATCTATACCCAACACGCCAACCCACAGCGTACCAATAGAGCGTGCATCGCAAACACAACGTTTGCCGCGTAATAGGCGTTACGGCACAATGCATGCATCATGTTGTGTACAGTGTTGCCGCGCACACAAAGAAGTGCCAAAAAGACCTGTCTTGGTATCCAACGCAAGAAATTTCTCCGGGCGGCATCTTGTGCAGCCTGGGCAGCCGCAACACATGTCTGGAACTGATGATGCGCAAATCACGATGCCTCGGCCGACTTCTTGATGCGATGACTGGCGACACTTGCATGAATTGTCAAATGCGTCACTTTCGTCGTCCGTGTACCACGATGGAACATCTCTTCAGCATAACACGCGATTGCAATCGGAACTCCCTCGCAATGAGATGCGTTTTCCACAATGGTTCACGAGGCCAGGCACAGAGTGATTGCGCTCGAATGCATGAACACGCGCGCACACGACGATGAGAGGCATGGCTCACGATGCAAAGAGTCTGGGGCGCGATAACCAGGATTGGTTCTAGCGTCTCGGACTGGCGTCCTCGTGTACACGAGCACCAGAGCGAACGGCAACCGATCGGAAAGGATGGAGACTGCGGAGCAGAAGCCCAATGCAAGTGCCCGTCTGACGGCAAAGACCCCCGATGTGGCCACTCCAGCACGAAAGCAGGGGAGCCTACGGTAAGGCACCTGGGCCTTCAGGTGTGGATTCCGTAGGGGTGGCGGGTGGTCCTGGCCTCCTGCTCGGTTTGCCGATCGCCTGTTTTGTGCAACGCGATCCAGCCCCTCGCCCGCAAGAAGCACATGATCCCGGCAAGGCGCCCTGCCGAGAGGCGCCAGAGACGCTCCCGAGAGGGCCCCGAGCGGCGCACGCGAGGCCCTCGCGAGGCTCTTGCTGAGCTATACTCTTGGGAGGGTCCCTGGGATGCTCCCGAGAGGCCCCTGAGAAGATCTCGAGAGGCCCCCTGGGAGCGCCGACCTGCTGCTGCGAGGGTCCCTCGGGGGTCTCGGGCTCGCGAGAGAGACCGTCGAAGCGCGACTCGGAACGCCCGGAGAGCCTCCTCAGTTGGAACTTCCGTGTTGTGCTACCAGACGAGCGCGTTCCACTACTCGAGGAGTAGCTGCTCGCAAATGGCCTGGATCCGCCGCGGGGGGTCTACGATCAATTCCATCGAAGCAGACATGTATTTTTTCGGGCGTTTGCGAGTAGGCACTTTGCGAGGAGTGGAACGCGTTCGGTAACCTACGCGCGCAACTATCAAAACAAAACTGGGGTCAGCGCAACACTATGGAGCACCATGTGCTTTCAAACGTATTTGGAAGCATGTGGGCATGGCCGCCCAATGGGCATCCTTTTCGATATGAAAACGCCACCCCGTACGGCGGCGGCAGCGGCCGGGACTCCCCTGGGAGAGCTTCTGGATTTTCTTTGAATGCAATCTGAGAGCCCTGAAGCGAAACGCTCGGTAGTCTGCTGGGCTGAACTGCAAGATACCTCAGAGGAGGAACAGGTAGTTACCCATATCTCTACCTTTCCCTCGTTTTCTCCTTTTTCGGCCTCCTGGGAGGCCCTCGTCTCCACTATCACTTCGAATTTCTGGTCAGAACGCACCCCTGAAGAGGTCCTGGGAGTAGTGGTATCGGCATTTTCTGGTTTCCCCCGCACCAGCGCCACGCCCAACATGATTGGCAGCCGATGTTTGAGAACAGCGCTCCTGCCTGCTCACCTGGTCCCCCCCAAGAGCGGGCGCGGCAGAAGCCGCTGCAAGAGGGCGCCAGGCTGACCTCAGCGCAGAAACAAGGCCAGTTGCAAGCCGGTGTCGGCCAATGCCAAGGTGGGTCACCACCAAAGGAATCACCAGCTCTTCCCGAGGATCGAGGTCCGAGGATCGCACAGACTGTCAAAAAAGGATCTTGACCTTCCTTGGGGGCCGCCCGATGCACTGGCGACGTCGGCGGTGCATCGGCGCCGCCAGGGCGGAAAAAATGGGCTCCGCACCGAGCCCCATCGCCGATGCACCGTCGATGCGGCGCGATCCTCCGACCCCATCTACTCGGACCCCAGCTGGGAGGCCTAGAAAGGTACCGCCATCACTACTCACTGGACCTCTCCGGGGGTTTGTTCTCACCCAAATTCCAGGGCGAATCCGGCGGTGGCGACGAGGGCATCCCAGGAGGCTCCCCACAGGGGGAAAACGATGCCGAGGTAGCGGCATCGGTACCCGTTCCTCCCCTGACCTCTTAGTGGCTTCTACGAAGGATTCCCGGAAGGCAAGAGTTTGGCTGACCCAGGGTCCAGCTGGAATGGGCTGGTGCAATAGATTTGGGCAATTGTATTGCAAAGTATTGCGCCGGATAATTGTAGCGCATTGTATTACACCTAACATGTTTTGCACGCGAAAGCCCCGCAATACTTTTGAGCCCCGCCAAATACTACATTGCACCACCCTCGTGTAGCTGGAACCACTCTTGGGTCAACAAGAAAGATGCCTCGTAAGAAGCGGGGTGTCTTCGTAAAATAACGCCCCCCCTCGCCCTGCAACCTTTCGGGCACTGCCAAGGGGGAGGTGGGTCGTTCGGGGGGGATGCGCCACCCTGGAACCCCTTCTGGGTCAACCAGAAAGATACCTCGTAAGAAGCGGGGGGCCTTCGTAACAGAAAAGGCCCTCCTCGCCTTGCAACCTTCTGGGCACCGCCAAGGGTGTGTGGGGGGGGTCGTTCGGGGGGGGGGGGGCGACCTCCTCGGGGCAACGCCCCCCCCCCCCCCCCTTGAACCCCCAGGAAGCACCAGACACAAAGCTACAGAAACGTTCCTGGCTTCCTCGATCCTCGCCCCTCGTCCCGATCCTCCTCGATCCTCGATCAACCCCTCCTCCTGCATCCTTGCGGATGCCATGACAATGGGCACCCTGACAATCCTAACGTTGAATAAAACATGTGTTTTAAATGCTGAAAGTTGTTTCGAAAATGCTGGACACATGTTGTTTTACATGTTTAAGACATGTTCAAGCCATGGTTTAAACATCTGGAAATTATTTGGCACCATGTTTCCTCTCCATTGATCGTCCTCCACAACTCCATCCTCGATTTCCGGGGGAGGCGGGAGGAGGTGGTGACCCGCCCTGGGCGGTGGGGAGGCAGCGACAAGACCTGATGATGACACGGGGGAGACGAGCAGAGGGCAGGCGGAAGCGCACAGGACAGGAACCAGAGCTTGGATTAAGAGAACATGAATGTTTACATACATACCTACATATACACATACATACATACATACATACATACATACATACATACATACATACATACATACATACATGCATGCATGAATACATACATACACATATACATACATGCGTACATGCTACGAACACTGAAATAACCAGTAATGGTACTCATACGAATAAGAAATCTCGAGCGAATAAGAAGACTGCCCAGCCTGGCGCTGCATGCCTAATGTCTGCTTTTTGCTCACGCGCTGTCAACACTCGTCGCACAGCACCTTCGACAATCGAGCACAGAATCGATGCAACCTGCTCGAGGCCAGGGCAAAACGCACCGTGCAACCCTGAGATCAGCCCGAAGGCAGGACCGACCGATCGCAACTCGTGGGCAGTAGTCCCCCTCGGGTCCCACAGACAATCGGACACATGAGCGATGCAACATGCTCGATGTCAGGGTAGAACGCACGGTGCAGCACCTGGGATCAGCCCGAGCTCAGGACCGATCGCAGATAGTGAACCTCGTGCGAGCGGGGAGGGCTCCCCCGGGCCCCAGAAGGGTCCGTCGCCTCCAGAGCTACCTTTTCCGGGCAGGCCCCTGGAGCACCCGAGTGACTCTCTCACTAGGCCCACGGGAGGAGGAGGAGGAGGAGGAGGAGGAGGAGGAGGAGGAGGAGGAGGAGGAGCAGGAGGAAGAGGAGCAGGAGGAGGAGGAGGAGAAAGAGGAGGAGGAGGAGGAACCAGAGTGAGGATAAGAGGCAAGGGGGGCACGCGAGGAAGACGGGCCAAGAACGACGGAGAGGGGGAACGAGGGGAAACGCAGCCCAGCACAGCGGACAAAGCGCAGAAAACGACGGAGAGGGGGAAAGAGGGGAAACGAACGCAGCACAGCACAGCGGACAAAGCGCAGCGCAGCGCAGCACAGCGGAAAGGAGGGGGAAGGAGGGGAACGATTGCATCACGCCGAGAGTGGTCACGTGCGTGCTTGCGCAAACACGGCGAGCAACGTGCGCCAGCGGGGCGGGGACGGAGGCCCCCTCCCTTTCTTTCACGGGGCGCGCGGGCCCCCCGCGGAACTTCGTGCCTCTGATGCTACAGCAGCCACGCGAAGGTGTGTGTGTGTGTGTGTATGTGTTCTGGGCCGTCGCAGCGGCTGTGGAGGAGGAGGAGGAGCAGGAGGAGGAGGAGGAGGAGGAGGAGGATCGAGAAGGAAGAGCAGGAGAGCCCAGAATCGAATCGACAAGTCGGAGCGGCGATCGACATGAATCGGACCGACGGAATCGGCAGCCGAGCCGGGGAAACCGAATCGGCAGACGTCGGCTGGCTGCGAGTCCATTGAGAAATCGAGGCCCCAATCAGAGTCCGAAATCGAATCGAATCGGAATCGGAATCCATCGACATCGAATTGAATCGAATAGGAGGAATCGAAACGAGCCCAGGGGGAGGAGGAGAAAGACCACAGTGCAGAAGCAGGGAGCAACCAAAAAAGGGGCACGAGGCAGCGACGAGACTCGGCGACGACGCGCCGAGGAGTCGCCGCAGTCGTCGTACCGCCACTGCAAGACCGCCAGCTGTCGGAGGAGGGCCGATCGAGGCAAAGGCTGTCTGGACGGTCTCCCCCGGGGCCGTAGGCGACCCGGGGAGGGGAGGGCGAGGAGGAGGGGGGGGCGGGGTAGGAGGAGGAGGAGGAGGAGGAGGAGGAGGAGGAGGAGGAGGAGGAGGGGGGGGAGGAGGAGGAGGAGGAGGAGGAGGAGGAGGAGGAGGAGGAGGAGGAGGAGGAGGAAGAGGAGGAGGAGGAGGAAGAGGAGGAAGAACACGCGTCACCTGGGGGGGCGTGATCCGTTACATACGGAGGGCAGCGCGCGCGGCGCTGCGGGCCTGGTACAGCTGGGAGTCGGTAGCGACAACTGCTGAGCCCAAGCGGGGCCAAAGCTTGTGGTAAATGTGAAAAGTCAAAACTCGGGCCCGGTGGGCCCG